AAGAAATAAAAAGGGAAAATATAAATATAAGTTAAGCAGTTTTAACTGGAACATTTGGAAGTGAAAACACTTCAAAATACGTAGGATACTGCAGAAGCAGTAAGGACATTAGGGAGTAATTAACTTATAGTGGTGAATTTCCACCTTAGAAAGGCAGAAATGTCTTGTTAAAATCTTCACCTCAGCAACCACCAGAAAAAAAGAAAACCTTAAAGAAAGAAGGAAAAACAAAACTCAATGTAAGGAGAAGAAGAAGAAAAAAAAGAATTAGAGTGGAAATCAGTCAACTGGAAAACAATGGAAAAATCAATGAAGCCAAGAGCTAGTTCCTTGAGAAGATCAATAAAATTGATAAACCTCTATCCAGATACATCAGAAAGAAAAAAGGGAGAACAAAAGATATAAGCATCAGGAAAAATATAGGATATTAAGGAAATTAAGTTACTAGTTAAGACAGTTACCCCAAGGAATTTTCCCAGTTCTCATGGCTTTACAGCTAGAATCAGCCAAATATTTAAGGAAGAAACAATACCAATTCTACACAAACTCATCAGAAAACAAAACAAAAACAAAAACAGAGTGAATAGAATAGTAGGTTAGCATTACTGCACTATCAATGCAAGACGAAGACACTGCAAAAAAAAAAAAAAAAAAAACAAACAAACAAGTATTCCTCATAAATCTAGATGAAATTTGTTTTAAATAAAAATTGAATCTATCTGTGCAACCAATCTATCTATCTATATTAATAATTCTTGTACTAAATGCAGCTTATCCTACAAATGCAAGTTTGGTTAAACATTTGAAATGCAGTCAGTATAATTCGCCATATCAACAAACTAAAACATGAGAAATAAAAGATATCTAAAATGAAAAGCAAGGAAGTAAAACTGTCATTATGTACAGATGACATGATCATTCATAAAGAAATTCTAATGAAATCCATAAAGAGAGCTACTAGAACTAATAAATGAGTTCAGCAAGGTTGCAGAATAAAAGAGCAATGGACAAAATCAATTGCATTTTGAACACTAGCAATGAGCAATTAAAAATTGAAATGAAAATGTTTACCACAGGATCAATATATGAAATACTTAAGGATAAATCTGAAACACGTGAAAGACCTGTACTTTGCTGAAAGAAATTAAAGGAGCTCCATCTAAATGAAAAGCATCCCATGAACATTAATCAGAGAATTAATACTGTTAAAATGGCAATACTCCTCAAATTTATCTACAGATGGATACAATTCCTATCAAAATCCCACCTAGCATGTTTCAGAAACTTGTAAGATGATCATAAAATTCATATGGAAATGCAAAGGACCTAGAAATATTCAAAACAACATTCAAAACAATCTTGAAAATGATTGTAGTTGAAGAACTAACAATACTTGATTTCAAGTTTTGGCATAAAAATAGGTCCTTGGAACAAAATAGAATTTAGATTAGAAACTAGAGTTGACCTACATAAACAACAGATTTTTGACAAAGGGGCAAAAGCAATTCAGGGGAGAAAGTATAGTATTTTCAGAAATTACGTTGGAACAATTGTATATCCATATGTTGTTTTCCATTTTCGTTTTTTAAGAATATTTTTTATCCTTCATACCATATTAGAATATTAACCCAACATTGATCATAGGCACGAATGTGAAACATAAAACCATAAAACTCCTAGAAGAAAACGTAAGATAAAACCTTCATCACTTCAAATGAAACAATTTCTTAGACACAACACCAAAGCCAAAATCTATCAAAGAAAAAAAATGATAAACTTCTTTCATTTTTCTTTCATCAAAATGAAAACTTCTAGTCTTTGACATATATTGCTAAGACCAAATGCAAAATATGTACTGTATGAAATAAACATTTACAAATCATATACATGATAAAATACTTGAATCCAAAATATAAAATAACTTTCAAGGCCCATAACTTAGAAACCAGCAATCCAATTTACAAAATGAGAGGTGATTAGAACTGGTAATTCATCAAGAATGACATAGCCAATAAGCATGTGAAATATGCACATGAAAAGATGCTCACTATGATTAGTTATTCATAAAATACAAGTTAAAAGCACAACTCATTGTTACTGCATACATAGTAGAATGGCTAAAAGCAAAAAGACTAACCATACCAAATTTTGGCAAGCATGTGGAAGAACAGGAATTCTCATACACTAATGGTGGGAATGTAAAATGACATAACCATTTTGGATCACAGGTTGGCAGTTTCCTAAAAACTTAAACATACATGGACTATACTGACTGGATACACTATTATGTATTTAAGATAAATGAAATTCATGTTTCTACAATGACTTGTACATGAATGTTCATAATAGCTTTATTTGTTATTACTCAAAACTAGCAATAACTCAAATGTCCATTAATTAGTAAATAGATGAGAACACTGCGGTATGTCCATACCATGGAAGGCCCTCTTCACCAGCCCCAGCCCCAGTGAGGAACTCTCAATCTCCTCATTATCTCTCAGCTTGCTCATTACTGCCTATGAAAGCTATTTTTTTCTTCTAAATAGGATAGATTCCCTGTTATCAACTATTCTACTGCATGAGGAATATCCACTATGACCCTTACATTAAACTACAAATATGTGTATAGCCCTCCCTCTAAATAGGAACAGAAAATGTTATTTATATTTATATTGCAAACTTTAGAAATATTTATATTATTAAGGATTATTTGGAAATGAATATATCACTATGGTTAAACTGGTCATTATATTCTTACAGGTCTATCCTAAAATTAGAACAAGCTGAATTAGCTGGAAATCAGATTTTTAGAACTTATCATAGATCTGAGGATACAAAAGAGGTTTAAATGATCTAAATTCAATAAAGAAAATGACATGTATTCCTAGGAAGAAAAAACTTGTTACTACTTACAATCTTTTCTAAATATCTTAGTTCTGCACTAATTCTTATATGATTCATGTACCCAGATAGGAACAATGCTTTTCATGATATCTATTTTTCCAAAACCTTTGCTGAATACACCATTTTAACGACTCCTATTACTTCTATAATATCAGTAAGATAAAAAGAGATAAGCATAAACTAAATAAAAGCCTCTGAATACAACCACTCTAAATTCCAAATTTGTGTAGTAAGCTTTAGAGTTGACCTTGCCAATGAGATGAAATTTAAACTTTGTTTTCAATGAAGGCATCAGATAGGTAACATTACTCTTAAGAAAGCTTGTAATTCTCTTTTTGAAATGCAAATCTAAAATTTAGGTATTGCACAGAGCTATAATATGGGATGTATATAACAAGAAGATACATGTTTCGTATATCCTGCAATAAAATGGGAATCAGTGAATGAGCCAATTTAATCTCTTGCCTATTTTAAAAGCTGAGCACACACTTTCTAGTAAGGAAAATAAATAGAAAGGGAGACAAAAAATTTAGGAAAGAGAACCAAAAGTCTGAATTAGAAACATATGCCATTAATATCTCAACTCTGCTATGCTATTAGGCAGTTTTAAATACTTAAAAGTTTAGCAGGAGACTGAAAGGATTATGTTTGCAGATACTACAATACCTGCATTACGTTAATATATCCGACTAATCAAGAAATCCCTGTTTAATGTACCATGACTCATGAATTCTTGAATGTATTTTTACAATTATTAGACATATATGAGGTTTTCTTCAAGGATGTCACCTGGAAATAAAAGAGATGTGGAACTTTGAGAAGAATTACTTGACAAATACCTTGTATATATACATTTAGATAATCATTTTGGAAGACCTAAAGATAAAAGTTAGGTAACTAGCTTTCAACTCACGTACATCATTTGATCACATTGCACCAGATTACTCTTAGAAGGAGAGGGTCTGATCAACCCAATAAACACACTCTGACTAGGAAACTGTAAGATAGGAACAAACTCAGCATACAAGATGTTGGGACCAATGTTTGTCTGAAAGAAACAATTTACTCTGTCAAATCTTTCTATATATAATGAGAATAATAGAAGCACCATAGTTATATGAGGCTTACATTACATATTATTTGTAAAATACTTAGCATAGTGATTGTATACATTAGATACTCTTTTATATATAAATAAAATTAATAAATCAATGATGGTGAATCCAGAACTGAAGTTACAGTTTAAAATATATACTAAGACAATATTAAAAATGATAACTGAAAATAATAAAAGACTGATAGTCTTGTTTCTGATAATCTCATGATCAATAATTACTATTTGAAAATAAGAAAACAGATTTTTAACAAGTACCAAAATTGATTTCCTCTGAGATTAATTACTTCCGAGAAGGTATTGATGAGAGTCCCTTGGGCAAGTCATATATTTTCTGGCTTCACAATTAAATGATGACCTTAAAATGAAGAAAATCTTAAATCTTTTCCAAATCTTGACTTCTATGATTTTGATTTTTAACATGTAATAAATATTTTATTTATACCTTAGTTTTAAGGGATTAGAATGTATTTCCTTAAAAAAAATCTACTCATGTATCAATAATATTTTGATAGAAATGATTTTCCAATACCACTAGTGGTCATTGATAAAACAGAAAAATCATTTCGAGAAAGTTTGGTAATTATAATAATTAAACAATAAGAATTGCTAATATTTACTGATCACACTTTGCTTAACAGGCACAGTGCTATGGATTTCATTTAAATTGCTTTATTTAATATCCTCCTAAATCACATCAGGTAAGTAGTTTTCCTCATTTGACCAGAGGTTGAGAGAATTAGGTAATACAGCACAAGGGCTAGAAATGCAATCATCCAAATTTAGATATTAAAAAGAAGAAATACAAAGATGAAGAATTGATGTTTATGGAGGAAGATTACTACCTTGAAAATGAAAGTAAACTTGCGGCCAGTGAGTGTTTCTAGAATATGGAGTTTGACTTGTCTAGTATAGGGGTGGTTGAAGTCAGAGGTTTGGGATGTCTAACAAGGGTCCTTGTCTTCCTTCAGTTGTATTAAACAGAGCATATGCAGATGGTAAATGTTCAACTTGATTAAATTGACCAGATGGAATTAGAGAACAAATTCGAAATAGTGTGAGAAAGAAAGTAATACAGATTTGAGGACATAGACCAACAAGTTACCAGAGATCACCAAGGCAGCTTAACTAAACAAAAGAGGGAAAAGACCTATAAGAACAGCAATAATTTCTCTTATTGGAGGATTAGGTAATTAAAGAATCTGTCAGCTACAATTTAACTGAAATTTAAGATGTATAAAAATGATAAAACATACTTTATATATATATATAATATATGTATATCATGATAGTTTACCATAATTTAAAGAAATGGTTTTGTATTGCCAGATAAATTTTTAAGAGAAGCATAATTCCCTTTAAAAAACCTGAAAAATAATATCTATGTAGTCATATGTATTATTTGAATTTTTACAAAACTGAGGAATATAACACTGAAGGTATTCTATTTTAATTACCATAAAAATTAGTTAAAACTATGAAAAAAATCAGATTATAGCTAACAATTTTAAAAGACTTTAAGATAAAGTCTTAAATAAAATCATAACACATGTAAAATCTTATAAAAATGTCGGAAATTATCATAAAGAACTTCTAATTTTTACAAGTATTACCAGAAGTGACAAATGAGAATAATCACTATAAAATTTTCTGTTTGTCATTTTGTTTTGAAATTTCTGGCTAAAGCCAAGCCATGTGAAAATTAGAAAGAGGTAAAAAGAATGTTTGGAATAGGTTAGATCAATTTATCATGTCTTGTGACTTATATATGGTTACATAAGACAGTATGACATAACAAGAAAATCTAAGAAAACAAATTAAATATACCTGTTAAATTTTCTTTTAATTAAAAGTAGAGGATGCTGATACTATTGTTTTTAAGGCATGTGGTAGCATTTAGCACTCCAAATTCATAAATATTAGTACCATGTAGATATCATGAATTTGTGTTCCAGTATTTAAAATAAGGTTGGTTTTGGTATTTTTAAAAGGATAACTCCCTTTGTGTAGAACATCATGAACACTTCAGGATGTTTACCAGTTCTGCCGTACTCAAAATTAAGTGCACGTGCCAACCTCAATCACTGAGACTTTCATGAAAGCTGCTGCCTATTTCCAAACCTTCTGTGCAGACTGGAGAGGGAGAAGGCAGGAAAACAGATCTACCGTGCTCTGTTGATAAACAGCGATCCAGAGGGAGCATACGTCTTTATGATACAATTATTTTAATATATAATATGCATCTTGTATTCACAAAAAGTTTTAAGTGGCTCCAATAAATGCTTTCTAAAGTACATGCATTCTTCTTCTTTTTTATTTTTATTTTTATTTTTGGAGACGGAATCTCACCGTCTCCCGACTCCCTGCAACCTCTGCCTCCCGGGTTCAAGCAATTCTCAGCCTCAGTCTCCTGAGTAGCTGGGATTGCAGGCGCTCGCCACTAAGCCCAGCTAATTTTTGTATTTTTAGTAGAGACGGGGTTACACCATCTTGGCCAGGCTGGTCTTGGGCCGGGCGTGGTGGCTCACGCCTGTAATCCCAGCACTTTGGGAGGCCGAGGCGAGTAGATCACGAGGTCAGGAGTTTAAAGTACATGCATTCTAAAGCTATTTTCTATCTTAGAAAGGGGAGCCATTATGTAAAAGTGCCTCAATATAAGCAGGGCTAATATTAGAGAACTAAGAAGAAAGTTTCTGTCCTAATCTCCATTCATTTATAAATCGATTTTAATATTACAACTATGTATTAATAGAAATAGGTTCTAAAGCACTTATCATTTGTAATCAGAAAAAGGCAAGTAGCCTAAAATATGAAAATAGTTTAATAAAATACATTAAAATAATGAAATAAAATTCAGTCAGGAATATAAATTGGGTATTTTGTAATAGGCAACGTGAAAAACTGAAAATGACTACATTGTACTAATATATAATATATATCATCACAAATAATTACATATGATATATAGTGTATGTAATATATTGCTTATCTAATTTCATCTCTGTGACTTCCCTAAATTTAGACATTTTCTTTGTTTAAAAAAGAAATTTGTAGCTCTAAGAAACAAATAGCTTTTCCACAATCACATTAGTATTCTGCAGAAATGATGTTTGCATATATATTGGTCTAATTCCAATACTGGGAAATTAATTATTTTAATTAGCCATGTAGATCAGTTCAATAAAATTGATCAGTTATTTCAGTTAAGTATCCAAAATAGCTAAAATATTTAGACCATAATGTTAAAAAGTATGTAGAATTATCTTAAATGCATATCTAATGAGATTGTATGTCTGTCCATATCTATGATAGATTTATGGAAACAAGGAAATATGTGAAGATAAAAAAAGTTCAAAAAAAATTTTTCTAAAACTAAAGGGTGACTCTACATTATTACAGTATTACTTCTGTATTTGTCATATTTCTTAAAATCGACTATGCTCAATGATACAAACTTTCTGAAAAACGGAATCTAGTAAACAAATTTTATTTGTTAATTTAATGGTCATGAAAGAAGAATAGATTTTTTTCAGAAAAAGTACAATCAGTGTTACAGGTAATTTATTAAGAATATGAAAAATATAATATTTGATGCAAAAGTATAAAATGTCTAGACTTTTAATTTTTAAAATATCACAAAAACAATTCAATAATAACTCAATGGGATGAATGGCAAAAATTGCTTTTGTCTCTGTTTAAATGAAGTAGAGACACTGGTTACCTGATCTGGTGTGGCATTAAAATATTATTTTAACCAGTAGGCTTTCAAGAAAGTTTGTATTTGTTTAGAAAAATAACCAAATAGGCTTTTTGGGGAATAGAAGCTTTCACGTCAATGCTGTGGATGGAAGAAGATACTCATGTCCTAAGTTAATTTCTCAGCAGAATAAAAAGAAATTCAAAGGAAGTTAGAGAAGGGGCAGTAGAAAGAGAAGAGAAAAGGTGAACCCACTTGTTGAGTGGACTAAAGCTCAAGTTATTGGAAGGGAAGGAAGGAAGGAAAATGAGTCTTAAAAACATTTTTTATTTATCATTATTACAGATAATTATGTATTTATTTATCTACCTATTTATTTCAAATTATGTTTCAAAGTAATTGTTTGCCAAACATGATGATGCATAAAGGTGAAATTTTAAAGATCCACACTGTCACGGTTGTAACTTGTGATGGTGGTGGGGGAGAAGGCTTGACAGTGATTAAGAAGTAGAAAAACAGATTAAAATATATACTCAGGATGAGAAAGACAATATAAAATAATCAATAAAAGTAACCATGAGTTGAGCAGCTAAATGCAGAACCTTAAGAGAGGTGAACAGAGCTAGTCTGTCTGAGTTGGTAATATTTACAGTGAAGGCTAAATGATGGGAAGTAAAGCTCTCTAGAAAAGGACCCCGGGCCCTTGCTTGGAAAGGTCTAGGGCCTGTGTCTGGAAAAATTTTGGCAAACTTCAGCAACTGTGTCACTGTTGGTGGGGAGATTTATAAAGATACAGCTAGAAAGAGCATTAACAGCATTTCCAGTGATAAGTTTGGATTTTATTTCAAGTACTAATGGAAGAAAATGAGAATTTTAATCAAAAGAGTGGCTTAACAGTTAATGCTCTCAAATCTCCAAAAATCAAATAAAAAACAAAGAAACACAAAATACAGGAAAACTTTATTATGTAAAATGTAAGTTTAGTGTGAGAGTTATTTGGTAGAACTGGAAGAAAATTGCTTGTCATCAAGAAGGGGTTGTGCAGCCCATTCAGCTCCACTCCAGTCTCAAAAGAAAAAAAAATTGTAAGACAAAGAAAAAGGAAAAAAAAAATGATACTAAAAATTTACCCAGAACTGTTATAAAGGTTAGTGGTCATATTTTCTACATATTGACAGATGGCATATGTAATGCAACGCAATTATTGATTTTCTTTCCAAAGTGTCATGAAATATGGTGAAGACACACATAAGCAATTAAAACATTGCCTTAAATTTCTTATATTTCAAATATGAATTTTGAGAACAGACAAAATATCTGATTGATTAATACTCTGCACCTGAGATCTTTAGGCCTAAATCAGGCTGAAATACAAATAGCTGACACCTTTTTCTGATATAAATACTGTTGATAATGTTTCAAAGATGTGGGCATGGTCATTGACACTAAATCTATTTCTAGGAGGGTATCGGGATACATTTGGCTGAAGTAAGGAAATATCAGCTGAGTGTCTTATTAAAGGAGGTGGTACTGTAGGTGGTTTTATGAGTGAAAATTATCACACAGACCCAATCCTTGGCTCTTTTCGTTTTTCCATCTGCATTTTCATCATGGTACTTCTTCCTTTATAATCATAAGATAGCTGCCATAATTGCAGTGATTATATCTTCCCACATTTATTAAGAAGAGAAGAAGAAAGCCAAGGAGATTTCCTTTCACTTCTCTCTATTATTGTCAAGAAACTAAACATTGTTCCATGACATCACAGATGACATCTTTTCTGTCTAGTTGAGTAGAACGGAGTAGCCCAAGTTCTACTATGCCTGTCAGAGGAAAAAACGGAAACAGATTGTTGCAATTACATAAATTCTTACTCTGGGACCACTTTTACATCTAAGAAAAATCAGGAATCCACTGGTGAAGAAATGAGAATGACAGGAAAGTGACACACAGTGTCTGCCGCAATAAGGAAAATATATATGCTAAGAAGGAAATTGTTAAAGTGCTTAGAAAAAGATAAACTCTAATTACCCAAAGGAGGAATGGGAGTGTATTTTCAATAAAGAAGATAATTTAATTGAACACAATGTGAGGAAAAGCACAATTATTGCTCTGTTCAGGGGAAGCAGCAATAAGGAGATTCAGAATATCCAAAGAAAATAAATCACTATGAAATTCTTTGGGCAAATCACTGTAATATTTGATGTGTTCATAAAATATCACCTATTTTATGATTAGATATTATCTGTGGACACACATTTATGAAGCACAAATGAAAATATCAAGAAAAATAACAGCAAGACATCTGAAAAGCAACGTAATTAAATATAGATGACAAGAGTAGAATGGCTAAAATCCAAAGCACTAATAAT